TTCCCTTTAATTCATAAAGTGCAGGAATGTTCCAGGTGTTAGAGCCTCAACATGGGAAACCAGGACCAGTGAAGGTTAAAAAGGGACGTTTAACATATGTCTGGCAAATTCGCCTGCCCAGCAAAAAAAAAAAATGGTGCGCCACGGGGGTGGTGGCACGAGCTTGGGGTCAATCGTCTTCTTTTGTGAGGACACTAACACTGGGACAGAATTTGTTATGACACATAGGCTGAGTAAGGAGGGCATCAGCTGGTCATCTCAGGGTATGTATGCATACTATGTGTACAGGTCTAAGCAGTGCTTATGCTGTGTGAATGCCCAAGCAAACCACAGTGTCTTCAAAAAGCCATGCAATTGCACCAGTCACTTCCCAAGTAACTCACACTACTGTTGAATAGATCACAAAAGAGGTTTCCGAAGGCACTTATTTTACGGCAATAGCCATACATGGCTCTTCATTTTTAGTGGTCAACGCAGTGTGACCGTGTGACCGTCACTCCATATTAACGTTGGCCTTTTATTTTTTGTGCTTGACGTCCTCACCATCTCAGTCGCCTTTCATTTCACCCTATCCCTGTCCCATCCCCCCTCCGTGCCCCTTTCTTCTCTTCCTCTCCTCGTTTCCTCGTATGATTGCATGTTTGTGGCCTTTAGCCCCCTGGCTCCCCTTCCCATCCTTCCCTCCTCTATCTCTCATGCGGTTCTGTGTTCAGAGCCTTTGACCTTTGATCTCAACCTGGGATCCTTGGACACCCCTCCTCACCCCATTCTCCTCTCCACTCCTTCATTGTTTCCCACTCACCTCGCTCACCTCTTCTGTCTGTCTGCTCTTCCCTCTGTCCCCTCATTTTTCCATCTTCTCTACCTACTTGCCCCTCCCCGCTCATCTCCCCTCTATCTTCCTCTTCCTTCACGCTCCCCGGGTCACCTCATCCTCAGTCCCCTCTCTTTTACTACCCTTTTGCCCTTCCTGCTCCCTCCCTTGCACAATCATGTGTTTTTGGCCTTCGATCTTTATACTTGACCTGATCCTCCCTTCCTATATCTACCTCTTTGCTCCTTTTCCCTCTCGACCATGCACCTTCCCCCCCCCCTCCTTTGTCTATGAGATGACGGCTACCGCCGGTCATGTAATTTGCAGTATGTTGCAATGAGGTGCACCTTTTGTTGTCATAAAGAGTAGAGCAGGGGTCAGCAGTCCGGGTCTGGTCCGCTAGGCAGTTTCATCTGGCACACGGCACAATTTTAGGAATGCCCCCTTCCTCTTTCTTCTCCCATCCTTCCTCATGCATGCAATGTTCTGGGACCATGCAACAATTTTGACCTCCGACACCTTGTAAAGCTTATACATCGGTTGCATGTGACGTCCTTTAAAGAGTGCTCAGCTGACCACCAGAGAATAGGGCAAGAAAGAGCTCTCCTCTTATCAGGACCCTCTTTTGTGCCTCCCGGATTTGCACAGGCGTCACTATTCTCCTCCCAGAAGATTAACCCTTCACTCAAAATTATTACAAAAGCAGCTTCCCTCTCCTCCTCTTACATGGTGGTCAAAAGTATGCAATGTGACGTCAGTACAACCCATAGATACAACAGCAGGTTCGTATAATTAGCTCCTCCCAATAACAACTTGTCAGATTACATTAGCAACTTTAATTTATGTGCATGTATTTTCCAGTATCTAGCACCAAACCTCACACTATAGGGTATTTAAAAGAAGAAACCATCTGTTTGTTATTTATTTATTTATTTATTTATTTACTTGTGATGCCTACCAACAGCCAAAAGCCTAGGACGGTAGAGCATCATACTAGTTTGACGGTGTCTTTTTCTCTAGTAGTTGCTTACTGCATCACCAGGCCAAGTTGGAGAAAGGGCCTCTCCATGTCCATCCCGCTCTTTGTCCAACTTGTGGCAACTCGGCCTGTTGCAGGAAAAGGTTGTTGACCCCCGACATAGCCTGTAACTTGATCCGTGTGCGCTAAGTACTCTAAAATCCAAATATTACAATCATGGGCAGCCTATTTCACTACAAAACATTTGATGAAATATAGCGGATTGAAGGCTTACGGATGGCACATTCATACCTGCCAACTCTCCTGAATTTTCAGGGAGCCTCCCGAATTTTGATCATATCTCCCGATTGTACGGACGCGACCTCAGATCTCCCAAAAAATGTCCACCGTAATTTTTTTTTTTTTTATGATGCCTTATTGCTATAATCATCACGCGTGTGTCATTGCGAGTTACTCGAGAGTAGGTTTAGGTTACTCCGGCGGGTTACCACGTGACAACTCAGAGCAGTAGCATAAAACGAGGGTAGATTTTCAAACGCCAAGGTACGAAACCTCTACTCCTGAAGTTAGAGCGCATTTTGGAACACGGCTTATATGATCATGAGTGCGCTAGGCTTCAGTTGGCTTTGTCAGGTCGTCGAGTGAGGTGCGGAACGCCGAACTACTCTTTGTGTTTCCCCGAGTTCAGTTGGAACCACTGATCTGTTGGAACGATTGATGGCACTTTCAAAAGGCTAGAAGAAGTACTTGCAAGTATTTCTAAGATCATATGCGACTGAGTTTCCGTGCTTTGTCGCTTCGCAAAAAGCTGACAAGTATGAATTCTGTGCCTTGTGCGCCTGTGATGTGGGAGCGTTTCGCACGGCAGCAAGCTTGACACATCAAGATACACATCACTTCACGAAAGCATCAGAACCATGCTCGTGCTGTAGAAGGGCAGGGCATTACCGGCAGTTTACTCCAAAACAACTGCGAAGACAGTGATTCGCACAGAGTGCCTCTTCATGGAATTTCTTGTCAAACTAAAAAAAACAAAAATGTTTCAACACCCCCCCCCCCCCCCCCCCCGCGCGGCGGTCTCCCGAATTTTTATGTTGCTAGGTTGGCAGGTATGCACACTGAACCCTGCTGAATCTGGTCGAACGACGAATGGTGCTTGTCAGGCAATCAATCGTAAGCGATGGCTTTTTGTGCGGACGAGCAGAACTGGTCGGTTGTTTGTCCGCACGGGAGGCCATTGCTCACGATTGGCTTACGAGCTTATCCATCGTTCGACCAGGTCCTGCTGGGTTCAATGGCACCAGCTGTACATCTGAGATTCGCAATCTTTCATCAGATTTCTAATAGTGAAAAAGTGCACATGATTATAACTGTTGTGTTTTTGGGATGGTTGGAGCACATAGATTGTGATATTGTCATAAATTGGCCATATCAGAAAGCTTTAGAGTGCCCCTTTAAGCTTGGGACTATGAAAGTACATCTAAACTATGTTTTCTTCTCGCCTTCCTCCGCGGGAGTGATGTGTCTGCCCGTCTGCATCTTGGTGTGTGCGCTTGCGATACTTGCGGGGACTTTTTTTTTTCCATTATCTCATGTATCCAGTTTGCTATTTCAAATTTTTTATTTTTCTGTGGATCCAGTTTGCGATTCCTTATCACCTGTGGAACGCTATTACGTTTCGTAGGTATCTTTGACTCAACAATGAGAGATTAGGTAGCTACGACAGCCCAGCTTAGAGTCACTGTATGGGTTCCCAGAGTAACGAAACTCCGAAGGTTCGTTCTAGAACCGCAGCGCGACGCTGAAACCGAAACCATGGCGCCACCATCTTGGGTCCACGTGTCGACGGGTGTATGAAGGCAATAGTGATATGCATTGGAGCGTGTTGAAAGAGCTGGTTCATTCCGCGACATGCAGAATGAATCACCTGTAATCGGGACTTACCTCACAAAGCTTGCTTGTTGCAGTGGGCTCAAAATCTTTCCGTTTTACTATGGCCAGCCAAGCCTTCTTCCTCCGGCTTGCAGTTTTGTTCTTTCCAAACGGGATCCGGAAGAGTCGTCTTTCCATCCTTCGACCTGCTGCTGCACCCAAAAGCGCAACAAGCAGGCATTGTGCCACTAAGTACACAACAAAAACTGTGCGTAAACGTGCGTTCGATGAGCAGCAGAGCGTGCGTGTGTGCAGGTGTTTGCTGGACCCAAGGGTGGCGATTAGAGCCACTTGAAGTGCTTGTGGAGGGGAGTCTAGCAGTGCTTGTGTCACGTGATTACTACCGTCCAATGATGCTCACCATGCCAAAACATGATCAGCTAGAGTGAGTATTTTGTCGGCAAAACGCGAAAACAAAAGGAATGCGTTACTCTGGGAACCCATACAGTGACTCTAGCCCAGCCTAAGCATCCACTGTAAAGGTAACTAAAATTTTTGCAAAAAAACCCACGTGCGGATCAGTTTACGCGAGAAACTACCGCTCGTTCGTTCATCGTTCGGCGGGGTTCGAGTTCTGCGATCTGCAGCAAAAAAGGTGGCATGCCAGAGTGTTTGGCCACAATTTTAATGGGGAAAGAGATGCATATGGTTGTAATTTTATGATTTGTAAGATGTTTAGAGCCTGTAAGTTGGTTACCACTAAAAAAGTTGGTTTTGGAAACTTTTTTTTTTCTTCTTGGAAGATAAGACAAATACCAGCAAGTGGATTCCTTTGGTGGCACAATGGAGATTTCTGAGGTTTGCGGAACTGCCCGTGGCACTATAGAAAGGGGGAGCAGGGAGAGATGGGAAGTATAAAACAATGATTATTCCTAAAAGGATGACAATGAGTTCTCACTTCCAATTTTTTCCTTTTCCTCCTTTCTCAGATGCCACAGGAGCCAACCATAATTTCTAGTCTCCATTGTGTGCTGCAGAGCATTGCTTTTGTGCTCCTTCTGGATTATCAATTGCCTTGGAAGAGGCCCACTGAAGAGGTTTTATTTTATCGCTCTTGAAATGTTTCTGTTACTTGAGAAGAGCCACTATTCCTGCTTCTTTATAAAATGTAATTTTTGTCATGTTTTGTACAGATGCACTGTGGCGAAAATGTTTGGCTGCACAAGGACACCTTCGAGACCTTGCTGGGTGCAGAAAGGGACGCTTTATTTGTTAAGAAGGCGGCAGTGGCTATATGGTCGTCGGAGGTCCTCATTCGCCGCAGCGTAATTGGTACCCTTTCAAACCGGAGCATCGCTGCGAACCCCAACATGTCGCCGCAAGCCCCGATGACGCCCCAGAAAGTGAAAGCCATACGTAGTAAGTCGCTGTTAATTTTGCCAGGTCTATTATTTCTTTATTGTGCCATTCAGGATTACTTCATAGCAGGAAGTAGTCGGCTTCTGTTGATTCCTCGCTCATGCCTTCTGCTGTTGGCCAAACATACCAGATGTACGGTATGTTTGGAAGTGTGCCCGAGTAGTGTGTACGAGTACACCCAGGCACACTCCTATGCAACTTCCCACCACTCAACGGTTAAACTCAGGCTGCCAAGATTTTTGTGTGGCACTGTTAATGAAAAATCAACAAAAACAGATTTTTGCCTTGTGATGTCACCGGCTAACAGCTTGTGTAAACTTTATTTAGACAACTTTGTTAATTTGCAAGCCCAGACTGTCCAACGCCTGCAAAATAAAACCTAGCAGTTAAAGGGTTAATAGAGACTGGGCCAACCTAGACATTTCTGAAAATGCAAGTTGGATTAGGCCAGGGGTGAGCGGACCGTGGCTCGCAAGCCGCATGCCCCGAATTGTGGCTCTTGTGATCCAAGGACCCTCAAGCTCAAATAGTTGGGGCCAAACATCAAGTTTTTTCATAACAGCATTATAATCAGAAACAGGCAAAAAATGTAAAACGTGACATATAAAATTGCTTGGTTTAAAGTCATAGTTTTTGGGGCATTTTATAGTAACATATAATGGTCACAAGGGGCAAATCAGGTAGAAGGGTAAGCTCCGTGTTAAAATATGCTACCTTTTTGGCGCCTCCTCGCGGGCTAGGTTGAGGCAGCATTAGTTTTGTGCAAAAAAATTTACCCAAAATTGGTGTCTAAGCTAGCTGAACCTTGTTCATACAATGCCATGCACCTGCCTTATAAGATAGTGAGACCACTGCTCTATGCACACATGCAAATGAAAAACTGCTAAGCCCTATTCAGTGGCATGTCTCACCTACTTTCTCTGTTTAATGAAGACATTAGGATGACAAGACTCGAACAGAGAAGCAGATTAGGTCTTGAAACCATAATTTCTATACAGTCGCCGACCGATTTTTCGGACTCGTAGGGACCCCAAGTTGTCAAAATAATCAAGCAGTCCGAAAAAAAAGATTTCAGCCACGATATCAAATGTCTGCCACTTCGCTTCGCACTGGCCACTTGCTTCATGTCAATATTAAATTCTCGTGCAACTTTGTATGTTGGTCACTTCTCACATGTTTGTTGATATGGTTGATCACGGTGGTGTGCTTTGGTTGCACCTTCGATGGTGCACACAGCAAATATGAAGTTGGTGTCATTTGGCACTATTTGGAGACAATGTTTAGCCCACCGAGCTTACTTCACTACCATTGGACAGAAAACTCAACTCAAGCACTCACTCAAACAGCACAAGAACGGCAGACGGCTGATTTTCTTGTGGTTGCATTGAGAAACGCAACATTAGAACAAACAGCAGCCATGTTGGCTATAGCTGAACTGGGAAGCCCGACTGTAACCTCAATTCAGCTTCTTTACTGCGTAGTATGTGGTATCGAGGCTACAAGTGAAAACCAGAACAACTAAAGTGACGGTGATTACGCTCACGGCATTATTGTGGTGGCTGTTAAATGACTGTAGACGGAGGAAATCACGCAAATTATGTCCGAAATATCAAGCAACGAGCTTTATGGTGTCCTAAATTTCGGTCAATGTAATACATTAACTCTATGGCTAATGTATAACTGATGGTTCAGCAAACTTCATGGGACGGTTCAGCGAAGACGTCCGATTAAGTGGACATGTTCGAAATAGCGGTGTCCGAAAAAACGGTCTGAACTGTACTAGCCAAATTATAAGTTATGTCTTGGCATAAATAAAAGGATAGTCTCATAAACAGCCATAACACCCCCTCCCTTATATCCCCCATCTGTCTTTTTAAAAATTTACTAGTTTGTGGCTTTTGAGCACTCATTTTGGCCAACCCTGTATTAGTTCGACTCAAAATTGTTAGAATAATTCTGGTATATTGCTCAACTAATTTGTTTTTCAGCAACATGAGAGAACAATTGCAACAAATTCTTTTAAATTGTGGATGGTCTTCATGTACTCTATGATTGGCAGCAGCTGCCAGATCTTGAAAAATCGGAGAATTGGAGATTAATTATTTGGTAGACATCTTGCCCATAAAAGAAATGTTATGTTGTGACTAAGATAAATGCAGTCATTCTGCAGGGTCATAATCTGCAGTAATCATTTGTGGGCTATGCACGTACCGCAAGCAGCCATTGCATGCCTGGCTGATCTGTGCATATGTGCGACTTGGAGCGCCAGATTCAGCTGTGGGGGCACAAGACCATTCGCTCGGCAAGCTCTTTTCGTATTGAGCACCATAAATGGTGTCCCAGAAGAAAACGTTATGGCCGGTCCACACATCTTTGTTTAAATTGACCGAAGCGATTGCAAGGACTGCCCCATGCTACATATTTATGCATGTATGACAAGTGCAGCAGGTACGATGAGCATGGCAGGCGGTAGAGGGGTGACAGCTGACGTCAGCTGCTGAAAAGGTTTCCTCAGATTTACGGGGGTCATCGCCTTTACCTTGTCTAGCAGCATATAAAGCACAAAAGGACTTTAAAAACTGCACGTATTACTTTTCTTAGTTTTGGATCATATTGACTTAAACACGTTAATAGAGTTTAAGTCAATATGTTTGTGAAAGCTTTTTGCTTGAAACGTCATGCCACTGCTTTCTGCCAACCTATTTAGTGTACACTTGTATTATTTGAGCGTGTTGGTGCTTTTTAACCACTTAGAAAGTGGAGACACATAAGGGACGATGCAGACAGGACAATCTTTCAACTTCAACATTTATTTTCGGCTTCAAGCTTAAAGCTTGCCCGCACCGTGGGAGTATGGAAAAGGGAAATCGTGGAGGAAGGAGAGGAAGTGAGGAGGTTGCCAAACGAGGAAGGGAGAGGGGCTCGACTGTAGGTGCGGGATAACGGAATGAAAGGAAAGACCGCTTCTGCCGGTGACCTTGTTGCCTTGCTTACTCTGTCAGCGTTCGGCTTCCATTGTGGGCCTCAGAAAGATAATCTCCTTTCTTGAGAGCGAAATGGAGGGGCTGCTTATGGTCTGCGGGCTTGTCGCCATCCGATAGGCCTCAATTATTTCGCTCCCCACTCGCTGGCAGTGGCCTCCCATGGTTGTCGTGCCGGCGAAATTAAGAGCGCAGCCGGGACATTTTCTCCCGTGAATGGCGATCGGGTGCTGGGAATCCGAAGCAGCTCCTTTCGGCGTCCATTTGATGTTCTCGGAGTTGGTCGTTGAGGCATCGCTCCGTTTGCCCTATGTACCTAGCCCCGCCGGACAGGGGGATCGCGTACACTTTCTCCGTCATGCAAATGGTGAACTTCCTTGCATATTTTTTGGTACAGGTGGGTTGTGGGGGTCCCTCTCTGTTGACGGCCCTACACGTGTCGCCGAGTCTCGATTTGCACGTGAAAAGCACTTTTGTGTCGTATTTTGAGGCGAGAGCTCTTAGGCGGCGAGATGTTGTGTGGATGTATGGAATACAGGCTGGTCTTCTGGCGACGGGTGAAGTCTCGGCGGTTGGCTTGGACCGGGGGTTTGTAGGCAATTTTTGTGAGGTAGCCAAAATCAAATCTGCAGGGTAGCCTGCCATCCGAAGCCGTGAGCACTGTTGGCTTAGGCTGGCCTCCCGTTGGTGGGCGCAGGACTTTGTGTATGCCGCACTATGCCGGATTTTACGTTTTTTGAGTGTGCGCTTGAGAATGGAAGCACCGCCTTGGTTGTACACTGTTGGAAAGACCAGCACGCTCCTTTTTCGGAAGGTTGGAGGCAAACCTCCAGGAACTGCAGTTCGCCTTCCGTGGGGTCTTCCTTCTTGAATGATAGGCGCCCAGGCGAAGCGCTGATTGCCTCGACGATAGCCTCCGGCATTGCGTGGTTATGGTGAATGATTAGATAATCATTGACGTACCTGAACACTTCGCAGTCCTGGGAATTGGTTTGCAGATGTCACTGGATGCCTTGGTCCGCCACGGAGAGATAGATCTCGCTGAAATTGGGGCCAGACACGATCCGATGCAGACTCAATGAACACGTCCCCATTGTGCTTGACCAGTGTTGACCGGAGGTAAAGCTGGAACTTCTCCAGCTCTACCTCCGGTCAACACTGGTGAAGCACAATGGGGACGTGTTCATTCAGTCTGCGTCGGATCGTGTCTGGCCCCGAGTTTCAGCGAGATCTATCTCTCCGTGGCGGACCAAGGCATCCAGTGACATCTGCAAACCAATTCCCAGGACTGCGAAGTGTTCAGGTACGTCAATGATTATCTAATCATTCACCATAACCACGCAACGCCGGAGGCTATCGTCGAGGCAATCAGCGCTTCGCCTGGGCGCCTATCATTCAAGAAGGAAGACCCCACGGAAGGCGAACTGCAGTTCCTGGAGGTTTGCCTCCAACCTTCCGAAAAAGGAGCGTGCTGGTCTTTCCAACAGTGTACAACCAGGGCGGTGCTTCCATTCTCAAGCGCACACTCAAAAAACGTAAAATCCGGCATAGTGAGGTGCCTGCTTTCTGCGGCATACACAAAGTCCTGCGCCCACCAATGGGAGGCCAGCCTAAGACAACAGTGCTCACGGCTTCGGAGGGCAGGCTACCCTGCAGATTTGATTTTGGCTACCTCACAAAAATTGCCTACAAACCCCCGGTCCAGGCCAATCGCCGAGACTTCACTCGTCGCCAGAAGACCAGCCTGTATTCCATACATCCACACAACATCTCGCCGCCTAAGAGCTCTCGCCTCAAAATACGACACAAAAGTGCTTTTCACGTACAAATCGAGACTCGGCGACACGTGTAGGGCCGTCAACAGAGAGGGACCCCCACAACCCACCTGTACCAAAAACTATGCAAGGAAGTTCACCGTTTGCATGACAAAGAAAGTGTACGTGATCCCCCTGTCCCGCGGGGCTAGGTACATCGGGCAAACGGGGCGATGCCTCAACGACCAACTCCGAGAACATCAAATGGACGCCGAAAGGAGCTGCTTCGGATTCCCAGCACCTGATCGCCATTCACGGGAGAAAATGTCCCGGCTGCGCTCCTAATTTCGCCGGCACGACAACCATGGGAGGCCACTGCGAGCGAGTCGAGAGCGAAATAATTGAGGCCTATCGAATGGCCGCAAGCCCGCAGACCATAAGCAGCCCTTCCATTTCGCTCTCAAGAAAGGCGATTACCTTTCTGAGGTCCACAATGGAAGCCGAACGCTGACAGAGTAGGCCAGGCGACAAGGTCCCCGGCAGAAGCGGTCTTTCCTTTCATTCCGTTATCCCGCACCTATAGACGCATTGCAGCAGCTGTGCATGGGCGCCGCCATAACTGACCTTCAGTTTTTGTTTCCCCTTATTACGTTTACTTCACTTCATTATTACCATAACAGGCTAGGTCATTGCCATCCTAGATTTTATTCTGTCTTTCTCCCCGACATTGGCCTTTGTGGAGGCTCGTCCACACCAATTTCAGTGCCTCGGTATCTCGGTAAAACAAGAGAAGGTCAGCAATGGCGGCAGTATTCTGGCGCGTGTGTAAAGCGTCTATAGTCGAGCCCCTCTCCCTTCCTCGTTTGGCAACCTCCTCCCGTTCCTTTCCTTCCCCCAAGATTTCCCTTTTCCGTACGGCGGGCTTTGAGCTTGAAGCCAAAAATAAGTGTTGTTGAAGCTGAAAGATTGTCCTGTCTATCTAATTTTGAAATAGTTGGGTTTGTTTGCTTTCTAAAAGTTATTTGACTCGTATAATTTGCTTGTGGCGTTTTAAAGGTAACGTAACGGGGTTCTACCGACAGGGAAAACCTAAGAGTGTCAGGGAATTTTAAGAATCTGTAAAATGAAGGTAATATCAATGAAACCCTTATGTTGGCCAAGCCAGGGAAATTCGCAAATTAAAGCATCATGACAGTGTGTCAGAACGCACTGATCGTCACATTACTCAAAGCATCGCAAGACGTCGCAACCTACTATTAAACAGACGGGAAGCACCACGTGTCTCCAGCCTCTTGCAGGGACGATGAATAGAACGATCTTCTGGCTCCTGGTTTGTCGGACCTTGTCGGTGGACACTTCAGTCTATGTGTGACCTGTGCTTCACACACATAGTTGCTTTAGACCTTCTTTTTCTGTATTGTGTCTTCAGAGTGAAAATATGTTAGTCAAGTCTCCACTGGAGGCTTTTTCCCTTATGCCCCTCCATTTATTTCAAAAATGAAATTATTAATAATGTTGTTATTCTTATTACCATCAATATTATTATTGTGATATCGCTGTCGAAGAAGCCTTTTAATGGGAACTGAGCCTACCTGGCATCTTCTAAAGCACAAGCTCGGTTATACCTGTGCCGGACAGCTTGAACGGTGCTCAGTATATGACATGCTCAAGGAAGTTCTTGAGCAACTTGGAAAGCAATTTCAATACCTCAGCACAATTGCCAGATTGCTGTCACCCTTCTGTAACGGCCAGCGAGTTCAATCGAAATAGTGCGGGAAAATCTGGAAAAGTAGGGGAATTTGAGAACTTGGGAAAAAGCCCGATAAGCAATCTGTTATATTGTTTTTAACAGCATTCTAATATTTCTAAATTTGGTTGCTGTAGTCTATTGCAGGTTAAGAATAGCAGGAGGGTGGAGAGGAGGAAACCACCCCTCCTTGCCATGATTTGTGGTTTTGTTTTCTCCAGTGTCGGCTCCACTAATCTGGAGAGAGACTTCTCCTGCTATTCTTGACCAGCTACAGACTATAGGTTCGCTTGATATTTTAAAGGGCAGATGTGCTCTTGAAAGGGGGTATAGCCTTCATTACTGTGCTTGGCGTGCAGATCTGCATGAGCTACTAATTAATTTATAGCTATCTTGAGCATGAATGCTTCACTGTTGCTTTTTCCATTGTTGTTGATAAGCAACTGTTTTCATTTCACTTTGCTTGAAAACTTAATCCACATTATCGTGGTTCATGTGGTGAAACAATATTGGCATTATCTGTTGAATTGGTGCTTAGCACACTGTTTAAACCTATGCTTCTTATGTTGCAGGTTTCTTCGAACACTACGCAAGACAGACCACAGCCCACGAGGGGGTCATTGCCGGAAGGGCGAAGAACATCCGCCGCTACCTTTCAGAAAAAGTTAGTGAGCTGCGTCGGCGAGAAAGAGGTGGGGGTGTAGAAGAAACGTGAGTATAGATGAAAATCTATTTATCGTCGCTGCATGTTTCACCAAGGGCTGTAAGAGCTGAAACGACACTTGATCTTTTCCTTTTAGGCTGGATTGAGGAAGAGCCTCAAACGTCACCACGTCACTGGCCATCCCCTTCATTTTTTTTATATAATTAGATGACATTTTTTCCCTCCAAAATTATGCTTCAATAAAGTAGTTATGACAGCAACATTGTTAAACTTATCTTTGTACCCTTTTTTCTGAGTAAAGCAACAGTTAGTAAACTTAGTAAACAGGTGCTCTGGTATCACCACAACAAAGCCTGATGTCACACTAGAGGCTGTCACACCAAAGCACCACCGCCTGATGTCACACCAGATTTCTGGTGTCACACCAGCACACCAGACTGCTGGTGTCACACCAGATTTCTGATGTCACAGCAGCACACCAGATTTCTGGTGTCACATCAGAACACCAGAAAACGTCCCAAATCACATCCGTGAAAAAGTCTGGTGTCACATCAAGTCACACCAGCTCTCGGCCTGGTGTATTTTTCAGTAGGGATCGACCACCATACAAAAGCCTGAACCAAGCATACTCGTACCGTGGCTTGTTTGCTCCGTGCTGCCCCTGAGTTAACTCGGGCAGACATTGTTTTTTTGTTTTTTTCAAATGGAACCCCCGTTTTTAGTTTCGGTTTCACCTGTTGAGGCAGGTGGATACTTTTGTAAAGATTCCTCCCTATGTGCTTCCAAGTCAACATTTTTGCAATGGCCAATCCCCGGGCTTTGATTTTGCGCTCCTTGGCAAATGCTGAAACTCATATAAGCGGGCAATAGCTCGTCTTGAAAATACTTCCTCTTGGTGGCCGAGAACAAACTCGTGTTCTTGATTGGCCGACGCTTGCTGCCAAGAATTGCTGCACATATCCGAAAGAACCCAGTCTTAGTCATATACAGATGCTTTGACCGGACAGAGACATTGTCATGTTCTTCCGAGGGGACGAGGGCATGTCGAAAGACGAAGCGACACATAAGTAGACGAACAAAAATTCATTTACTCACAAGCACAAAAGAAAGCAGAACAGAAAACAAAATTATAAGCAGAAGCGAAAGGAAAAAAAAAATAGAGTGGTTAAATAGCTACAGTCAGACAGTCTCGGTCGCGCGCTGAGAACACTCACAGTCTCGAGCGTCGATCTTGCTTGGAACGGGACGCGGCCTTGTTCCTCGATGTTACGGGTGTGGATCCAAGCTTGCTAGGAGCTCTAGGCCTCGAAGCACCGGTTCGATGGTATCCTTTGACGGACCAGGTACGCGGCCTGGGTTGACAGGAGTGTTGCGAGGACACCCCTTTGCGTCCGCCTTCGAGCTCGAAGTCCAATGCTCCGGGCTTCTGGTGCGAGCAGCAGGCACGACGTCGCTTCGGCTCGATGGCGGCGAGAAGACCTGGAGCGGAGCCAGGGTTCACCAGGAGCGAAGCCTGGGCTGCCGGGAGCGTTCGCGTGTCAGCTGCCGCCCTTCAGGTTCAGTCGTCCAATGTCGTGCGCGAGCTTCTCCTTTCCATTTTTCTCGAGCATATCCTTTCCCTTTTGCTCGAGCATATCCTTTCCCTTTTGCTCGAGCTTGCCCCCTTCTTCGCCTTTCGCTTTCACTGTCACTTCAGGAACGTGACACTCCCCCCTTCTTCAAGAGCCTCACTTCCTGAGGCGAATAGCGGTCAAAGTTCTGATGAGATGTGCGTCGCGTCGTTGACGCCGCTTGTCTTCTTCACAACAATCACCACACATACACGCATAAAAGCATCAGCGTACAAAAAAAAAAAAAAAATAAGACGTTGACACTTGCACCAGTCTTAACACTGTTCATAACGCTCGTTCAGGCTTGGCAGTTTATCCTTTGAAAGTTTCAGCTATTACTGAACGCGAAGTCCAAGAAGAAAAGAAAACGCAATATCACAAACTTGATTCCAAAAAACTGACCTGAAAGTACCGAAGCGTCATAACAAAAGCTCGAAAATCCGAAGTTCGTTTAGTGTTCGAATACCACGTAAGACTCACCTACCAACTGAAAGTTTATAAAGAACACTGAAATCGCCATGACAAAAGTGCGAAATCGAAAGTCGAAAACAAACAAAAATGACGCAGCTTATGACTTGCAGCAAACGCTACAGACATGCTGTGTACAGAGTCCTGTCATAATTTCAGTATTGAATTGGCTTTCTTAATCTAAATTAGCTAACCGCCCAACCTGGGCCTTCGAGCTGACCAGCTCGGCGTAGGACCTAACCGCGTCTTGGCGTCACACTCAATCTGTGCTAGGCTGGTCTCAGCCGAATCGGACACAACCTCTGAGCATTTAGTGCTTCCGGTTTGTTTTTGTGTCCGAACTTGCTTCCGCATCTTCTGGACCGCTCGTCTCTGACTCCTGCTTATCTGGCGTGCGTCCTGTCTCAGCCCAGTGATTCCTGTTCGGCGACGAAGCTTGCGTACCTTGAAGCGCTCTCTCCGCCCTCCTCTGATCTGCTTTGCGTTAGGCATTCGACTCTGTGGTCCTCTCGCAGAAACAATGCTGCGTTTTGTTCGACGAGATTCAGTCAGACATTTCTTTAATTCGGACTTTTCGCCGCTATCTCGTTGTCGGGATTCCGAAGCATCACCGGCTAGAAGCCCCACCCACAATGCATTGGTTGCGTCCTGCACGCTCGGCATCTCAGTTCTCACCGTTTCTGGGGTGCAGCTTAAACCTCCGTAAGGTTTCAAAGCCTCCCCGAGTAATCTCATTTCCCTGGCAGGCGTCTCTGTGTCTGCACTCAGGCTACGGGTGAGTGCTACCGAGTCACCCTCAAGTTTCTCATCCGTATATCGCTCTTCAACTGATGCGCACATCGCATTTTGAGCTGAAGTCACTATGGCTTCCAAAAGCCCGATCATCTCTTTCAGGCTACGAGATTCTGCCTGAAGACGCGACAATCGTGCGGCCGTCTCTCTTTTACATTTCTGCATTTCTAAGGAATCTCCGTCCCCTCCATTCTCCGTCTTTTGCCATAGCATTTCCCATTCTTCACATTCCAGCTCCCACTCTTGCTTTACGAACGAAAGGTGATTTTGTAGCCACTTCTTCAGTGACACCTCGTCCATTTCCAAGGACTGCCCGAGTTTCGTTACCCTACTGAGTGTGTCATCTTTTCTCATCCATGCTCTTTCGTCGCCTACAGATTTCTTCAACTCCGGCCCAGCATAGCCCAGTTCCTTTCCGACAGCCGTTAATCTCTCTACCTCCATGGCCCTGGATGCTTCTCGCCTTCCGACGCTCCTCTACCTCCCAGAAGAACAAGACGTCATAATGGGCCATCATCCTGGCAGGCTCGCCAATTGTCATGTTCTTCCGAGGGGACGAGGGCATGTCGAAAGACGAAGCGACACATAAGTAGACGAACAAAAATTCATTTACTCACAAGCACAAAAGAAAGCAGAACAGAAAACAAAATTATAAGCAGAAGCGAAAGGAAAAAAAAATAGAGTGGTTAAATAGCTACAGTCAGACAGTCTCGGTCGCGCGCTGAGAACACTCACAGTCTCGAGCGTCGATCTTGCTTGGAACGGGACGCGGCCTTGTTCCTCGATGTTACGGGTGTGGATCCAAGCTTGCTAGGAGCTCTAGGCCTCGAAGCACCGGTTCGATGGTATCCTTTGACGGACCAGGTACGCGGCCTGGGTTGACAGGAGTGTTGCGAGGACACCCCTTTGCGTCCGCCTTCGAGCTCGAAGTCCAATGCTCCGGGCTTCTGGTGCGAGCAGCAGGCACGACGTCGCTTCGGCTCGATGGCGGCGAGAAGACCTGGAGCGGAGCCAGGGTTCACCAGGAGCGAAGCCTGGGCTGCCGGGAGCGTTCGCGTGTCAGCTGCCGCCCTTCAGGTTCAGTCGTCCAATGTCGTGCGCGAGCTTCTCCTTTCCATTTTTCTCGAGCATATCCTTTCCCTTTTGCTCGAGCATATCCTTTCCCTTTTGCTCGAGCTTGCCCCCTTCTTCGCCTTTCGCTTTCACTGTCACTTCAGGAACGTGACAGACATAAATGCCTGACACAAGACCACTATTAAGACAGGAAATAAGTGTTTGTGAGGAATGAAACACATAACTTAAATAGATATCAATCCCTCACCTTGAAAACACTTGCCATAAGTGGCAAAGAGCAAACTTCTGGCCTTGATTGGCTGGTGCTTGCCACCAAGACCTGCATGTATAAGAAAGAACCCGGTCTTAGTCAAACTTTGGTGTTTTGCAGAAGGGAGACAACAAAATACTAACGCAAGACCACTACACATAGGAAATCGCATCCAAGAAGAATGGAACACAAAACTCATATAGGCAGGCAATAGGTCACCTTGAAAATACTTGCTCTTGGTGGTCGCGAACAAACTCGTGTTCCTGATTGGCAGCCACTTACTGCAAAGAATACCTGCACATGTCCTAAAGAACCCAGTCTTAGTCTAACACGGATGCTTTGGCTGGACAGACACACAAAAGTCTGATACAAACCACAAAAAGCAGGAAATAGTGTCTGCGAGAGATAGAAACAGACCCGGGTGGAGAGGCTTGTTCTGTTTTACCTTAGTCAAATAGTGTTGTTCATTTTGGTAAAACAATGCATATTTGCTAAAAAAAGTATGATTTATATTTTGCCCGATTTAGCAGAGTTTACTGCCAAGGGTACCTGCGCACCAGAATAAGTCAGACATAGTTCTTTTTTTTTTCTTTTGATGAGCGACAACAGAATTCTAAACGGGTGATGAAACAAAATATAAGCCCACCAAGCCAGGCTAGTATGCCTTGATGCAAGCAAAGTGCCTCGGCCGACAAATGAGGTTCTATTCTTGGTCACTTGTCATATTTAGTGGGGATAGTCAAATAAATGAAAATAAGGCAATCTCTCTTGCAGCCGACAGCTGCATACGAAATTCATATACCTCGATAAACGACCTGGAAAAAGAATTGGGGTGGTGGCCGAGTGGTTTAAGGTGTCACATTTCAAACTTAGAGACTGTGGTTTTGGTTTAAGTCCTCCTAATGTATATTTTTATCCTTATAATTAAATTTACATTGCTTTTTTCTATTTTTGAGGCACAAGCACTTAAATTTTACGCTAAATCACCTTTAGAAGCGTTTCAATTACACTCTGTGGCTTCCTAGTGCTCGTAATAGATTCACGGTAAGAGCGGTTTTAAATTTTTTTCTTGCTGTCGCTGCTGCTTGCTTTCTCACCTTTAAAATGCTGAGAACTCGACACAAAAGTAATAAAAATATATTTAAAATGTGATGAGGAACAGC